CCCAACGCTGGAAAGACTACATCAGTAAGCACAAGCATCTCACACCAATTTGAAATGCCTATCACTAGCTCCTCTACTTGGCAGATGAAATTCGTTTTGAGTGGTGGAAATCTACCTTGTCTTTTTTCAATGTTAGCTTGAAAATTGACAGTGATCCAGACAAGAAGAACGTTGAAAATCGCGAATGAGTAGGGATGTAACTTCTGCCAAGACACCTTCAATTGAAACTGCATTTCATTGCAATAAAACTATGCCAAACTATCACCCATACGCTGACGCCTCTCCACTTTTGGCCAATTTGAGTCAGTACCTTTTCAATAATGTATGAATGAAACGATATCAACCTCATTATTACTACACTGCTGATTTTCGGATATCCCACCTATGCCTAGGTGTACGAAGATGCTTAATTTTACGTAAAGCGTATGCTTTCGTCTTCACTATGCCCTTTATTTGGTTTCCTTCACATCTAATTGGCTTCCTCTCGCACTGATGGTGATTAAACTAACAGCAAACTTCTCTTTGAAAAGGAAACACAAGAGTTCACCGTGAAATTGAATAGGAGTTTTGGCAACACTGGTATCCACACAGTGCGAAGTGTTCATTTGCATAATGATAAATGCTAAGCACTCCTGTTGAATTGTGGTAGCGTGAACCGCATTGTAGAGGCTGTGAGTTATGAGTGCGGGACATATGCGACGAGTGGAATGGGGAGAGGAGGAGAGGAAGAGGGATAGGGGAGAAAGAATCTAGTCTATCCCCATGTAACCACACGCGCACGTCTCCCAATGATAGCAAACAGTGATCTCTGAATGATCAATGGCCAAGCGCCATCCCCCGTTCCCCCCTACTCTCCCCTACCCTACGATCTGCCTTTTCACTGATAACGTGAACATATTCAACACATTCAATCAAGTCACCACAACAAAAACAACTAAGCCATGTCAGTTTCTATGAGAAGTTGCAAGCGAAATTGATCGGAAATCTTATTCTGCATAAGATCGCATTCTATTCTTTCCACGATGATTATTGCATCATTATATTTATACCTATCGACATCAAATCACTTCTTTTGAAAAGCTTCAAGATTGCAAGCACACGTCCATACCATTTGACTCTCGATGCTACTGGAAGGATCCATGAAATATTTACTTTTCGGACGTCAACATTTCCTCCAAATAGAAGACCACAATAGTGGGGCAAATGCTGTGATACCTGGACCCTAAGTAAACCGTGTATCAA